AAAGACGACTGAATGACTTAATATGCATCGCATAAAATCGGTGCACAAGCGCAGTGTCTTCGCGTCTTCAGAGACAGTAACTCACTTGCCGCAAGGCAGTCGAGCTGAGATTATACCCGTGCAACGGCGCCTCCAACTGCTAACTTTTTATGGAATCAGCAGCAACAACCCAGTAATTTGGACTGATGATCGCAACCATACAGCAAACGTCGCATGGTCACGAGGTGCCCGCAGGCAGCAAAGTAGTAACGCTCTGACTTATCGTGTGCCCTTCTCGCGCCACTTCGGTGTACACTACTGGGCCTGCACTTATCCGACTCGGTTTCACGAGCTCTATTCAACGGATTCAAGATCACAGCTTCATCCTACTTGCATCAATGTTTACCTCGATACTGCATTACTGCTAATAGCATTGCCGATCTCACACACAAAATTACCTCAGTTTTTTGTGCATTTTAACATTTCAACATGCTTCAAAAGCTTGTTACGCGAGTCTGCTAGCCAGCCAAGATTCTACAACAAACCGACGCTCAGTAATGTAGCTACAGCTCATTACCCCAGTCACCAGGTTCGCGTAAACTGCAACTGTGGATTTCGCCTTCGCTTACGCTCAGCGACAGTGTCCGTGTGCGCCGACAAACCGGATTGCGTTTATCGGATCGATAATTATTCGTTACCCACGCACAGCCCACGCCGGACCTGCAATTACAGGACAAACCTGGACGACCAATCACGAAGGTCCTGACAGTGCGAACTGGAAAACGGTAGATATATACTCTTGTGTTTTGTACTTTGTGCGGTTTAACTTAGGCACTGTGGAGTGGTTCTGTAACATGGTGTCGTCCTATAATGTCGGTTAGACGCACATGCCCTTATAAGTTCTCCCAAAAATCTCAGTAACCAATAAATCTCCAAAGTTGCCATAATCCACAAAGCCACCTAGACTGCGAAGACCCTCGGTTAAGCCGGTTGTTTCACTGAACGATGTACTCTCAAAGTTCAAATGTATGTAAGAGGAGCTGGACGGAGTCAAAATAAAACTGCCATCTTTTGGTCACTTGGTGAGAACGCACAAAATGCTCGAATCTCAGACTGTTCTATTGCAGACGAAGGCAAACCCAAACAGCGATCATTTAAAACCCACCGGTATCTTCATTGATACTGTTACAGCAGAAATGTTTAGTAGAATACGAGGTTCTAAAAACGCAGTGGTTCTCAATTTGCTCGATAAAATGCCGGTGAAAATATTGCAAAAGATCCTACTCAAAGCAGGTAATATGGTAGACACCTGTGCAGATGTAAAATGCTCCGTAAGAACGTCCAGCGGAAAAGCTGTCGTGTACTCCTTCAATTTAGCCACTCATTGACGGCAAAGGGGTTTCCCAAAAAAGGTGCGCAGATAGCAGAAAACACTACACCTAAAACACTAAGGGTATCGATTGATAACACATCCCTGCAAAGAGAAGTCTGGCGAAGTCAGCCACAGCAGCTACGGAAGGACTCTAAAACCGCTAGCTCCGACATAACTACTAGCACGAATGCCGACAATTTGATTGAGCTAATTAGCGGCAGTGGGAGTCCAGTCAGACATAAATTTCAAAAACACCGGTCAAAATGAAGCCAAAGGAAACGGAGTAGCTCCTCTCTACATCAGTTCGGCACTTAGTCCAACCAAACCACTGGCTGAAATAGTTATCCTCAGTGCAGCAATGTCTAGCTATGCGACTAAGACACCTTCTCATTTTTCGAAACGCAGGAAATTTATTAAGATTAGTCAAAATAGAGTTTGCAAGACTATTGTCAGCAGCTTTGCATCATGTGTGTCATATGAATGCGACATATTCCAGGTTGTAGGAACTGTCCGCTCAGGTTCCAGCACATTGTCTTAACTCATCAGTCTCGTTACCCCAACTACTGGATGTATATATGAATCATTCCAACAGTACATCAGGAAACCACATACATCGTAAACAAAATGGTAATGTGACATCAAATTATAGTAGCTATGCATTAGGAAGCCTTATGACAATTACCACTTGTAAAATTAGAAATAATGTGTATCCTCAAACTACTGAGTCGCGTACAATGATTGGCATAGTAGAGTGCCCTGATCCTCGGAACCCACTTGAACCAAAAGTAAGGCGTTTTTCTAAGGCCTCGTACTACATCCATATCTAAAATGAGTGTGCGCATAATATAGGCTACAGACGTAACGGAGATCTCTCACACTAGAAAGCCATTCCCCAACAACCTCCCGCACTTACGGCTATACCATTACCCTACCGGAATGTCAATTCTAAAAATGTGTCGAGCGTATCGCTCAATATGCAATACATGTGCACTCTCACCCCGAGTCGTCGGTATTTCCGAGTACTACGAACCCCATCTAAAACGTAGTACTAGTGAGCATGTAACGCACCCTTCCGAGACACGTAATCCCAGCATGCAGAAGACGTCTGAACAGCAGGAGGTTTGTCAATCAATTGAGAAGGTACAAGATTCACGGAAACTCGCGCCGCGAGACCGGGGATGTGTGTCAGATGATTGGCTGGCTGGTGTGAGTGGTAACCAATCCGCGCACGGCTGAAGGAAACGGATCGAAGTCATTCTCGTACGTGACATTCCCTCATGTTTTGAAGTTTTTATAATCCTGGCATGAACCAGTCAACGAGTTTATGTGTACGCTGTGATCTACGAAGCGATGACGTCGGGGTTCAGCCAAGTCTCTGCTAGTCCTAACACGTCCGGCCTCTCCGAGACCGCGAAGCGGCACAGTTCGCCACGTTTGTTCATTAGGCTGCACACGTTGGCGAATGCCACATAGTAGTCCTGGGAGGTACTGTCTCCAGGAGGTTGAGAAAGCGGTTGATACGGCTTCGTACACCCTTCTTGATCACCCGAAAATTTACAATTTGTAAGTCAGTGTCACCTTCCTTTGTACGGTGTTTGACCTCAATGACCGCAGTCTTCAAACGAGCCCGGTCTTCGGGTTCCAAGTCTCGACGGATTTGAACTCTTATGCCTTTCAGCCTAGACAGACGAGAAAGTATGAGATGCGGCATATTGTGATTTGCAAAGGTGATTCTCAGCGGTCGACACGACTGGTTAGTTTTCTGGCCAAGTCGGAGTACTTGTTTAATCGTCACACTGTCTTCGCCCACATCCAAGAGTCTATCGATGAGTCCCTGGAGGAACTCAATCTCGTGATCATAATGTATCTGAGAGTTTTCATCTTTTGACTCTGGTACATGGAAGACCATGAGATTATGACGCCTCAGCGAAATCGGTGATGAACCTGTGGGAGTAGAACTAGAGGCGCTTATCTGATTGGGTTGTCGTTTATCAGCAGGGGACGCCTGAACTCGATTACGTGACACCTTGCGCTTTTGAGTGGTCCATGGCTCCTCGGTGTTCAGAAGTTCACAGACAGGCTCTGAGAAATTCACGGACCGATCAGTGAAACGGCATTTCGTAGGTTCCTAGTCTGAGTCTTCCATTGGTGGGGAACATTGAACCTGAAGCTTAGCCGGGGTCGAAGACGCTGGTGGTGGTGCAGATCGCGGAGTGACAAGAGAAGGCGAGGTGACAGAGGTACTTTCACGAGGGCGTTTGACCCCACGTGGTGAACGGTTTGTTTCTGTCTGGAAGAGAGATTTTCCCGTAGTTGTTGGCGGTCGCTGTGTATTCTGATGTCTTGCACCGCGACATTTATCACATATAACTTGAAAAAAACCGATGTCGGATGTCGAGAGATTTTCGAAACACGTCAACGGATAAGCCAATGCGCGAAATATGGAACAAAACATCGCAGCCGAAGTGCATGAGCCTCATTTCCAACAACTTTCGAACACGAACCACAAGTAGCTTGAGACGGCATCATAAGGTAGAGCAAATCCAAGATGGCGGGCAGAGATGGCAGTAGGGCAAATCAATGAGATCGCCGGAGTTAGCCAAAGAATAGCCATCAAATTTGCACCGATTGGAAATTACACCAAAAGAAGAATACTGGTGCACAATTCACACAGAAAAATCACTGATGACACAGTAATCCGAAGCAAAAATAGTATTCAGCATACGGAGATCCAAAAATCCGCAAGGAAGCAGCTGGAACTGAAGTCTCTAATCGCTTACTCAGGTGCTGTTGGTCCGCTCCATTTCCAAGGCTGAAATGCACGCGCTTCGCACTGCGCTTGGCTCAAAATAGCACAGAACATGCCCTGTGACTGTCGTGATTGCAGTTTGTTCCTAGTCAAACTGCCTAAGTGGTGGATACATGAGGTTGAGTTATCCGTGCGAAGAGATAGATTTGTAGCGATTGTAAATAATTTGCTTATTTTTCATTTTCACGCTTACCTATTTCGCTGCAGTTGTTGTACAGCTTTGTTTCAATTAACCATATTTACATACGATTGGTTTCGAGCTCGTGTTCCGTGGTTCTCCTTTGGTTGCCACTGGATTGTTGTGATTGTGCGCATCGCTGCCTGCTCTATTCACCATCGGACTATACGTACACGTACAATTCGGCATAACTCGCAATCTACGGTCGTCCAACGCTTAGGCGCATCAGGATATTTTGTGTGAGGTAAACCTGACTGACTGGGTATTCTCCTTTACCGGTCCCTCCATAGATTATGACATGCAACAGTGAAAACCATAAGGAACCTGTCTAACCAGTGCCTCTATGTTTTCACAAGACATTCAGCTAACTGTGATTGTGTGATGTGAACAAGCTGCAAACGCCGAAACTTTGAGAATTTTCTTGCGCTGTAAAGGTCTTGCACATGATCCCGGCTTCGCCATCCACTCTGGCAGGGTCTTAAAAATAATATGGTGACAGGATATCCGTGAAATACTGTTATAACGCTGCACCCGCAATCGACCGGTTAATTCACGCCTGCTGCGAAATCTGCGCCCCTGCGCCTGCTCTGTTTGACGCCTTGGCAAACCTGACAGGAATGAAGACAGAAGACTCAGAAAGACCAGAGTTGTATTAGGACAGAGAACGCTCATATGTATATGTCGGTCTCACCAATCCTCTAAATATCGCCTGGCGGATTTGGCTGTAAGCCCACGCTCCACACTTGATTGCCTACACCGGCTGGCCAGTTCGCCGTCTTGCTCGGGCACGCCAGTCTTCAACCGCCTACCCGGGGCATGGCAAGGCACGTGATGTCTGACGCGCGATGTCATCAGCTTCCGGGCAGACCTTGGCAACAAGCATGCTGTCTGATGTGCGATTTCATCAGCTTTCGGCTGGGCCCTGGTAACACACTCACGGGGTCTGTCCCAAGCACGATTTGCGGCGAATACGCGCGCGTTGGCACCCAGCTTTCTCACCTAGCTGTTAAGTACTCATGTACTGTTCCTGTAAAGGACGGATTAACAAGCCAGTCGATATACACGGATTCCCATAGATTTTTGGTTGCAGAGCATAAGACTAAAGGCGCCGACTATCGCGAGGCAACGTCTCTAAGAAGTTCAAATAAACAGAAACGGCAATATGCAGCAATCCAGCCAGATAAATGTAGTATGAAGCTTCGATGAGTGTGCTGTGACAGCAACCCCCAAGGATGTTAAAAACATCAGCGATTGAGTGTGGTATAAGCACTTTTCGCAAATTCTAGCAAACACACAAAGAAGGTAGACATAGGTAGATAAGGGTTTGCTAATTTGACAAGTTGACGAATGCTTCCGGTGGGAGTAAGCCTGCATCGAAAGCGTTCCGAAATGCTTGCAAGGCACGTTCCAAATCAAATTTACATTCGGACAAGCATTGCAGCGAAAAACGCGTGTTCATTCCAGTGAGCGAGGAGAGTTGTAGAACATCAGCAAACTGGGGAGATTCGAGGTCAACAGAATGGCGGTCAGCTACACGAGTGCGCTGAACGATTCGATCCGAAACAGTCTGTATGATGACGGCTGAATGCGTCTGAAAACAAGCGTGAAAGCACAAGTTTAGAGGAGCAACTAGGTAAAAAAAGAAATATAACATCTAGTGAATTCGTCAAGTCGGTCGTTGTCGTGCCCCATGGCACAGTGATGTTAACCACAGACTGGTAACGGTCGAGTTATGAGCTCAAGACCTACAGGAACAAGACATAATGTGCACTGTTGACGAGTCCCGTAGGGACGAAACGGCCGTACAGTGCTTTTCCGGGCGTGTCAGTCTAGATTTGATGACCTTACATGATTTAAATCCTACTCCTTTGTAACAAACCAGGTATGGAGGCAAGCATAGTCATTGAGACGCAGTGTGACATGGTAAGCGCGCGCGAACACCGGAGAACTACAAGCAAAGTACACGAACTCAACGGCCCGGGTAAGAAATGCATGACAGTCTGTTAAGTGAAGCAATAGCTTTGTATAAGCGCCCTTACTGTACAGTGTAGTACGAGCGGACCAAATAAGTCAGAGCGTGTCGGTGTGAGTTTAAAGAAACCGGAATCACGGAGGAAACACGAAAAATGTGTTGCTGCGGCATTGCAGACGAGATGGTGGTGGAACGAAAAGACAAGGAGAAGTAGATGTGTGCATAAATCAAGATCCTGTGGGACAAAGGTCAGGGGTCCACAACGAATGTTACCGACTACACACTATTCACACTCATAGGTTCGTAGCCCGGAAGCCAAGATGAACCAACGCGACCAGAGCTTCCTAAGGATCACCCTCATGGCTCAAAAGCGATCCATATTGCCAGTCGCGCTAAGCACCTGAAGGAGTAGGAAGCGAAGCGCGGACGGGTATGGAGATAACCCGATTCTCGGGTTATTGAGTGCGAAATTGCACAGATGAGTGGTTCACGAAACCCCCCGTGGCACGCTTGGTCGTCTTTCATGCGGCGTTGCCACCGTAAGTGAGCCGGGTGTGAAAGTGAATGTGATCGAATAGATTTATCTAGTAAGTGTATTGGTACCAGCGGCAAAATACTGTAAATACCCGGCGAAGTCGGACGGAAAGAGCACGTTAACCTAGGGAATCGGTAGTAAAACGCCAAACGAGGGGTTCGAAACTGCGAAAGTGGCTGTAAAGCTGAGCGTAGCTGTGATGAAACGACATCAATGGTTAAATCTCGTGCTCCAAAGCGTGTGGAAAATGAGTTTTATAAAATACGGCAGTAAGTGTGAGAATTACCCTCATTATCTGCCGAACTCCTGCTGCGTAGGAAACTTTGCTGGGTCTAACTAACATTTAGGACAGAGTCTCGGAAAATGAGTGCTCAGTTAAATCACCCACAATACTTAAGTAAAAGTCTCACAACAAAAACATGGTTGTATCAGTAAGCACGCTTGATTTACAAGTACACACAGTCATCATACTAAGGAGAAAATATCTGGGGTAGAAATGATATGCATATTGTCAACACCACAGGTCAGAAACAATTGGTCACCGAAGCGGGTAGCCCATGATGCGGGAGATGAAGGTGAAATCCGCTGGAAAAGTCGGGGATGTTGGGATGCTGTTGGAATATCTAAATCTTAGAATAATCGCTTTCTTATCGTGGACTGGGACGTCAAGCACGGCTAGGTAATTCCTTTTGTGCCTTACGACAATTCGCATGTGCTCTTCACCGTTATGATGTGCAACACTTTTGGCCTTACTTGCGGTAGTCCAACTTTAGCTTTATTGGTGGAGTTCGTGGCCGTGGCACTAGCAGTAACGTCGCGCTGAATGATAAGAGCATTGGTGACACTGACTGCCTGTATATCGTTCATCGATTGATTTTGTCTTTTACCTATGAGTTCAGGTCTAGTTTGATCTCGGCCAGCTACAATAGCGTATACGAACGTCCCTTAGATCAGTTGCAAGTCAGTCCATTCTTGCTCGCCGGTGTGATTCATAAGCGTATGAGTCTGGCTGATAGCAATATCGTGGTCGCCATAGCGCGTGGTTATTACCTTTATTCGCTTGCTGAATGTGCGACTCACACAATCACAGTACATTCGGGTGCTACGATCCCCTACTTGAATCTGCCAAAATATGTGAACCCAAGTGTGTTCTAATCTTTCTCCGACTGTGTATTTTGTCATCGATGGTGTTCCAGTTTGTGCAACACGCACCAATTTCACACACGAATTCACTGCCTGTTAGAAGTTGGAAGATGAGAGACTGTGAGCCGGAACGGTCAGATGTGAAGGTTCTGACTATCGAATCTGAGGAAGTTTGTGATCTGCACAGAATTGCTGTCATTGATAGAAATGTTTACCATGGTACCAGTACGGTAAAGAAGTTTGGGAACGATGCGAACTTGTTTTTAGATCAGTAGATGGTTACGGGGACATTTTCCTAACATCGATAGATTCTTCCCAACAAGTTGTAGATTGGGCGACGTAAGATGGAATGGATGGCACGAGAAAGAGACGGAAAATACAACGCTGCTTTTACCCCGTTAATTAAATTCGAGCGTATTATTAACAGAGGAAACCTTGCAGATCCGCTATCGGTTTAGAGGATCAGAGTTATTGGCGCGCAATGAAAATGAATGGCCTAACTTCGCCTTAGCTTCCGAGCCTGAAGAAGTGAAGCTTAAGCGTCCGACTGCCTTGGGATACGCTATCGCTAACGAGTTACTGCCGCCAGTTTTACTTCTTAAAGTTGATAAATGGATTAAATTAGTTAAGTCGGTAGTGCGGCTAATCCGATTCAAAACGTACCTGAAGGCTCGTGTATACGGGACTTATAACGAGCAACAGCATAACCGGCTGGTTACTCTCGCGAGACCTGCGACTTTTGGGAGTAGTTGAAGGCTGTGTAATGTCGGAAAACGACCTCGTAAGAACATTGAATGTCATGAGGAAGGACGGTATACTTGTTAGGGATGTGCAAAAATCTAGTTGCTGAAAGGCAGCCGACTAGATGGGGTGTAGTTAAGACTGTTGGCTCGTCGCAGGTAGAAGACGGGTCTTCGGATCTGCTGCTCCAGGAAGGACCACTGTGAGCTCAACAGACCGAAGTGGGAAGTGCAGGCGTACCGGTATAAGTCCTGTATCCTCCCCGCGTGGATAGAGCGGGGGGTTAGGCGATCCAGAGCGGAAAGCATCACCGTCCTTGGGAAATTCGCACGGATTTGGCGGGGAGTATGTCGGACAAATCAATTTGCTCAGCCTGTCTGGAGATTTCACCGCTATCGATTCCCCTCAACATGATTAATGACTATCTTTTGATTTCTTATTTCACCTTGCATGATGAAGCCCCAAGTACTTTGATTCTCTCAGATTTTGAACATCGATTACCCACCGGAATGCACTCATCCTGCCTACGATTAATCGTTGCTCAACCTTGCTAGGCCACCACTGTCTTACTCTCTGGGTTACCCCAGACAATTCTATGGCAGACACGGCGAGGGTCTCATAGGTGTATCCACGCGTGACGGCCAAGCAGCGGGTCTCGTCCTGTCTATCTGGTCACGATCACCTTAACTGCGCTATTAGTGCATTTTGCACTATCCAATCATTGCTGCCTCAGGCTGTCTTGGCTACTAAGCTATGTGCTATGCGTTTAGTCACTCAGTTCGTGCCTTGTCTGCTTTGAAACGGTTCTTGCCGTTGTGCCTAGCTACTTGCTTGCATATTTTGTGCTTGAGGACAACGTTTGAGGTTTGTCATCTTCTGATGTTTTTTGTAGCTTAATAGCACCGTAGTCAAACTGGACTTGAATTTTGACTTATTCCGGGGATCGTGGGTTAGTTTCGGCTCGTGAATTTGTTTCTGGTGTTCGGTTCCGGCCATTGTTGAAGTTGGACAACCGGAGACTGCGCGTTCTGATCAAGGTTCCTAAGCGTTTTGACGCTTACAGCCACAACATAGTGTAGATATGACAGCGGTCTACAAAAGTGAGCCATGTTTAAAGAAATTAATGCCTCACTGGTGATACTGCTCTTCAGTTACGCCCACCAGATTTCTGCAAAAAAATGGTCCTTCTTGTCTGTTCGCTAAATTCATTTTTGCTGCTCTAAACTAAGGAAAGAACCACCTATTGATTTCATCATAAACAGACATTTTAATGCATGCATCAACTTTCCATGCAGGATTTTGGATGACCCCTCTCACGCTTTACATGTTATCCCAGCAAGCACCATAACTACGACTCAGACAGAGTTGAAATCCAAGATTTTATATGCTCGTCCCACAACGTATCGAAACTCTATCCCACTTTATCTATCACGCTTACTAATCGACCCAGGGGGAAGGAAAGACCGCTTTCAGGACCGTATGCTTGATGGAAGAAGCAAATTCTCGTTTTATTGCCGCCAATTTTTACTTTTCATTGATGCGTTGTTGTATTATATTCCGCAGTGTTAGTGTGAAAATGCACCTATATGGATGAATAAAACTTACTTCGACTTGACTTGAATGCCAAGTCAGAAGACAGGGAGACTGAGCATGTCTGACATCTAATAAGTGCGAGACAGGATTCGACCTCAAACACCTGTACTATCAATGACCGTTATTGATCAGCAGAGACTGACAGAAATGCACAGAGTTGACCAACTGTACATCCTTCGAAGTAGTTTCTGTGGTGGGGGGCTGGAAATGCTGGTGATTGAAAATGCTATAATGCCGATCGAACGTCACAGGCCAGACCGATAATGAGTGAGCATGTTGCCGGAAGCAGATTGGTCAGCCAATCAGGAAATAGTTGGCCAGTAATCGCGATCACCATGCAACTATCCACTGAACGTGCAAATGACCACTCAGGCGCCAGCAGACGAAAGAGCGCATACTCGTGCACCCTTGAGCCAAGGCTTGTGGCAATCGACCGAGGGAAAAAGTTCGCGGGCCCAATCCCACAAATCGTACATCGACTAAGAAAGCCAAGGTGATCTAGACAGAGTGAACGTCACGAGCAAGCATAAACTAATGGAAAGGGAGCCAGCGACACAATGCAAATAACAGGGACGAGCCATTGAGACGGACTGTTGTAAATGGTGTATATACTCTATAAATATTCGAGCGTAATCTTAATAAATGACTTCGTGATCGCGGCCCGGTCTTCTTGCTTCACGGAGGGCTACACGACAGTCTCCAAGTTAGACACAGTCGCACGTCCGGAAAAGCACCAGACGGCCGTTTCGTTCTGCCTGGGGTAGACAACAGTAGGCACCATCGGATACAAGAGATATTTGCTCAAGTGCCGGACCAAATACGAATCTTCCTTTCAAACATTAATTAATGGTGTGTCTGCACAAGGTAAATGAGTGTATCCTCAACCACCTCGCGAAAAGCGAGCATAGATAGTGAGGAGACTATGTACCCAGCTTGTATACCTGTAGCGCGTTGGCGTTACAGGCTCAAACGACTGGGAACGATGCATCACATAGAACGCATGAAATAGCGAGCTACTCACTTGGACCAAGGATTGAGCAACTGGAGTGATACACAAATCTTCCTGAACAATTCGACCGGGAGAAGGTGGTACGACTGATAGAGTTCGATGAATACGGCGTACACGCACAGTCCCGAAGGTACCAACCTGTAGTGTGTCATGTTGTTGTTGCTCCGGTTCGACGTTCTTTGAAGAAGGCGGAAGAACCTCAGCAGCAAGACAGGAGTATCGGAACAGGATACCCGTGGGCTACATCTATTATTTTTCATAGGAAGATAAATGAACCAACCTCGGAGGAGATAACATCCAAATAGGAACATTCATCCACCCTTATGTGGATGAGATCCGGGAGACGAGAAAGTAAACCAACAGCAAGAGTTCTGCCACGTGCTTCACTGCGGGAAAGCGGTGGGGGAGGAACACCTTGGAGACCGCGGTCGGACGCTGAGGAAGCAAAGCTTTTTACACTCTCCAATCGTTTTGCATGTCCACATTGAAAAGCTCGAAGCACCTTTAAGCGCTGTTTTTCTTGCTTCGAAAGATGTAGCACTGGTCTACGGGCCTTCGGTAAGGAAGTAACAACCGAGCTGAGACTGGCCCAGGCCCATGCAGGTAATGCTAAGGCTCCCGGAATCAAGTTCGAAGCAAACCGTTCGTAAGTACGCCACCCATGAGGCGCTTCTAGACCGGCTTTCTTGTCGCAACTGGTGCGCCACACATCCTCAAGGAGATAGGGTGCAATTTGAAAGGTGAGATAAGCGTCAGAACTGTAAAACTCATGAATTCCTTTTCGTGGCGGTCCCGCGTCGAAGGCGTCCAAATAGCTTAAATGTAGGGAAATAGATGGTAGAAGTAAAATAGCCAAATAAGGAGCGAACAGACACCCATGTGACTTAGTGGTGCTTTGCAAAAGGTAGAAGCTGAGTATCTCCAGCAAGTACATCTAATAGTGGTTAGCCAATGAAACAGAAGTAACCTGAAAAGCGGCAAGTAAACAGAAATCGCACTAAGCACTAGCCTGCACCCATCCGATAATGAGTCTGAAGAATGCTGGAGAAGCAGAGCTATGCTACCAGGATTTGTGGATTTAAAGGATAGAAACAAGGCCGAAGTGTAAACATGTAAAAAAATTTCAGCCACCGGTTGAACCGATCCCGATGAAAACAAGGGCCAGTCCTAACAGATTACGCAGTTAACGCACTTATAAACACACGGGGCCTAGACGGTTGATCATCAATCAGCACCCTTGGAAATCATTTAAGAAACCAAGCAAGAACAGGTAAGGCACGTCAAGAAAATCGGTAGAGAAGTAGACGCTCATAGTGGTGCCAAAAAGATAACCGTTTAGATGAAATGCTGGACACTGTGAAAGTCTGAGACTCAAAGTAGTACGATACCACGCAAGCCTTGGCGATTCAACGAGTTGAGCAACCATATACAAAAGCCAATGGTTAGAAACAAGAAAAAAGACAACTCAGATGAGACTTTCGAGTAAAAGTTAACTAGGGGAGACAAAAGGATGTAGGTGTGGAGAGTAATCCACGCACCCAATGACTGTGATCCGCTTCAGCAGGACCTCAATCGGCTCTCTACGTAGTCTGCAGTGGTCAACCTTCCGAGCAACCCGGTCAAGTCGCAATTCATGAGTCTGGGTAAGTGTGAGCACATTTGAACCTTCACTGTAGCCAGTCAACTGTACATCTCGCACTTTTCATGCCAAACCTCGGTGTACTCTAACGATACGACCTGAAGTTCATGGACAACAAGAATGGGCGTTACCAAAACGGTTTTCGTGTGCTTTGGGCGCTCAAGCACAGCTTCAGCACTCGGTCTTCGTCGCAATAATACGACCAAAGTTAGAGTACCGCTTACCCGGTAAGAGGTTGAAAGGACTGAGCGAGTACAGCATGTGGTCACCAGAGCTATCCCCAATCTACGAGATGTGCCGTACGAAGACCGGTGTAAAAGACTAGATCTTTACCCTCTAGTTTATTGTCGATTGTGGGTTGATCTCATGATAACGCACTGGATACTACATCTCGGTGATTACCTCATGTTGAGGTCTCTGCTGCTGCATCCGCGCACACCAAGCAGCACACGAGGACACCGGTAAAGCTTGCAGTGCAGGATTTGAAGGGGGTCGCCTACCAAGTGTGTTTCGAACGGAGAGTGGTGAATTTCTGGAACAACCTGCCGCAGTACGTAGTTGAGGCAAAATCGGTGTCGAAATTCAAGAGATATCTGGACAAATACTTTGTCGGTATAAAATACCTCCAGCGCAATCTAACATAACGGGTCCTCGTAGCTGAGTGATGGTAGAAGAAGCTAAACAGAGATATCTCCTCTTCCTATTTCCAACCAGTGATCAGTAATCAGTTACAGGCTTCACTACATTGGTGCATAGCAAGAGCGACAAAAGCCGTTTACGATAGTAGGAGAGCACAAATCCTGCTCACAGGATCGGTGACGAAAGATTCATAGTGTTGCGTGGGCAGGATAATGTCATGTAGCCCAGGCCTAGACAGGAGAACGAGTAGGGTTCTCAACCAAAACCTTTGGTTCGAAAACCTGACCGCAAGGCAGCGGGTTTAGTGCTGGACTACAATTAGTCCGTTTTAAGGACTAAGGAGCCGCCACACCCATTCCAACCCCCAAAATGGAGGACCAGGTGTATAATGATGATATATTGATGACGGGATCAATGCCGTCAAACCTACTCAATTCAGTGCAGTGGATGCAGTTGCCACGACTTATGTCGCCAGAACAACAATAAATAGCAACAGCAAGAAAATGAGGTTGGGCGAAAAAATACAAAAAAGGAATCAAGAAAAGTGCATTAAGCCAATAAAGGTGGTATGAAAGCTGCCAGCGCAACTGCATCATGTCTGGTAGCATTTTCAGCCACAAATGCATATATATATATATATATATATATATATATATATATATATATATATCTATGCTGAGGCTGGTGTTACATTCATGATGCTTCTTCACCGCAGTTGGGCTAAACCAACTTACACTTAAACTGGGTCTTTTTAATGTGGATAAAATTCGTTACATTTTATTTGGTTTGTTCTGCGTACTTGATAATCTTCTCCCAACTTGCACACGTCACTTATGCAAATTGTGGTAAACTTGCGTAATTGTATCGTGTGGTATTTTTTAAACAACTTTCGGACATTTTGTACCTATCACCGGATTCACTTATAACCAATTTCTTCTATATACGCATTTAGCGAGTACTCATGTCGTTATATGCGTTCACTTTATTCGATATCGGCATTTTGAGTGATTGGCTTTTGTTTGACATCCCAGGTGTGGCTGCGCTTGATGTGCATATTGACAAGGTGGCTACCTGTCTATTACTTACTACCTCGTCCATCTGGCTCCAGGAGACAGTTGGTTGTTGCTGGAGCGGACAGGGTGCACGGCCCTTGTGGTCGTGCTAGGCTTGAAGAGTGGTTCCATGCACTCAGTGTGGAGCGGACTACGGTCCAGCCATCGCCTTGTGTGCACATGATTCCCCAAACACAGCGTGCTTGTGTTTGCCTGTGAAGGATTGTGGGCCGGCTCCGTTGATGAAACTTGGCTCCCATCCACATGCCTCCCGGTCTTATTCCTTCGGGTTTACACTAGATATGGGGTGTGTGGATGGAGCTGTGGGTGGTGTAGCGCAAGCCACCCATGGTCCCTTTGTAGGCGCAGGCATCCTGTGGCTGGCCACAATGACAGGCAAATCCGAAACCGGATGCCGCCAACCATATACAGTGGATTCCGGTTAATAGGACCACCGGTTAATAGGACCAGCCGCTTATTCGGGCCAAATTCTGAAGAACCGAAACGAATCCTATTACGCTAGCCTAATTTTAGTCGCTTATTAGGACCGGAATTCCGCTTAATCGGACCAGACGATAGAAGGTGGCAGGTAACAGAGGTGTTAAAATCAAGTTCTGTGCCTGGATGTCTGGACTAAACCCACAGTTCATATGTCGGGCAAGAAAGCGTATCGTTCAGTTACGGTAATCCGAGTTTGCCTTTGGATAAACTGAACTGGGGCAACCTTGAGGCACATCTATCTAATTGGCTTCAGAACCGCCCGAAACTGACTGTAGTTTCCAACACTTGTAGGCGGAGCGAAGACATACATGCTTGTTCACATGTCGTTAACCGCTCGATCGATGTACCGCACGTCCATTGAGCCGAATGCCCTGAGCCCGCATTGCGGGCCTACTCTCGAGCAAGGCAAGTGATCGCGGACACACAGGTCCGGCAAATCATAGGACAGCAGGTGGCTAGGTCAACCATAGAAATACCCGGGAGACAGACTCGAGTTCACCTCAGTGAACTGTGCGTGTCTTGTTGCATGTTAAGAAAATGCCACGACGGGACTTGACGTTAGCTGAGAAAATTCGTTCCCTAGATCAGATCAAGGAACAGGGACTAACCATTAGTCAGCGTCGATTGGTGGAAATTACCTGCTTGGCAAAATCTATAATATCGCGCCTGATAAAACAAGAGAAAGATCTGCGAGAAGAATGGGCACAATGTGAAGGACGACTAGGTACTTCCCAAAGACGGAAGCGTGAAGGCAAGGATCCAGACGTCGATGAGGCCCTTAATGATTGGTTTGCCTTTGTTACTGGACGAGCCGTGCGAGTGAGTGGCCCAATGTTAAAGTACAAAGCAGAAGAACTCGCTAAAATGCTGGGCCACGAAGATTTTATAGCTACGGACGGCTGGTTGTCTCGATGGAAATCTAGACATGATGTAAAATTTAAGAAAGCACATGGTGAGAAAGAAAGTGCCAATAGCGCACGAGCTGAAGAATGGAAATAAACAAAACTACCAGAGCTTCTTGAAAAAGTTCCAGCAGATAACATCTATAATGCTGATGAAACCGGGTTGTACTATAGGGCTACACCGGACGGCTCCTTAAGTTACAAACATGTTACTCTCTCTGGCTGCAAAATAGCAATGGATCGCGTATCTGTCTTGTGCTGCTCAAACATATCCGGAACAGACAAGAGGAAGTTGCTGGTTATAGGAAAATGTGCCAAGCCTCGCTGCTTTAAGGGACAGTTTACCAGTTGTGTATCGTGCGAACAGAAATGCATGGATGAGCTCTACACTTTTTAAAGAATGGGTGAAGGATTAGGACACAGAGCTACAACGGCAGTCGAGAAAAGTGTTATTACTTCTCGACAATTGTGCAGCACATTCAAATTTGGATTTCTTGAAGAATATCCAGATGGAATTTCTGCCTCCCAAGACCACATCTTTGATACAGGCAATGGACATGGGCATCATAAAAAAATTTGAAGACCTTTTATCGTTCAAGCTTGGTGAATTACATCTTTGAATCAATTGAGGAAGGCTTGCTGACCTTATCCTCGACGGCCGGAGAAATCAGTGCAAAGGTCAACATTTTGCAAGCCGTTACATTCGTGGCCGAAAGTTGGCGAAAAATGAGCAGTGCGACAATTCGGAACTGTTTTTCTCACTGTGGCTTTAAGCATATTGTCTCGGAGATGGATGTGGATATGGTGATTGTAAATGAAAATGACGGCGAGAATGTGGAGCTGAAACAAGTTGAAAATTACGAAGAATTTTTGTCAATCGACAACGAACTTCAACTCTATGATGGAAATGAAGAATGCGATGCTGTCATTGTTGCTGGAATAGCAGCGAAACACACGACAGCAACAGAAGACCATGGAAGTGATGAAGAGAACCCTAACGTGTTGATGCCAGTCACAAAACAGGATGCAAGGAAATGCATTGAAACATTGCACAGCTATTTCATGCAGGAAGGAAATGAAGC